TAGGATAAGGACAATTCAGAATTCATACCCTCGCACATAATTGAACAGACGGAACTCTTTAGCTTTGGTAGGGAAATAAGTCGAGAATGGCAACTCTGAATTCAAAACTCAGCCTGAAGAGAGCTGGGTTTCATCAGACTATCTTGCCCTAGACACATACACTGCTGCTATAACTGCAGTACTTAGTCCCGTCACAACACTAATAGGTTACGGGATTGTGACGATTCTAGTCGACACGGTTATACTAAACCTATGCATGCTAAACTCGACGAAACTTGCTGGGAATAAATCTAAGAAACTCTATGCTTTGTAAATAATTTTTAGCGTTAAGTTTTCAGTTTCCTAAAATTAGAAGCACAAAACCCCTACGCTACTTCCACATAGTGGCAGATTTGATTTGAGGTGGGTGACGAGTGAAGACAGTCATTTTAGTGTTTAGATTTAATCTTTTCGATATTTCGGAATAAAAATTATCCTTAGCATTTGACTTTTATTATTGAGATTGATTTTTTTTTTTTTTTTATTTATTTTATTTTATTTTGTTTTATTTGGAAAACGTGGACCTTCGTGCCGGAAAGAAAACAAAGTTTCAAAAGGGCGGCTTTTCCGATGATACCGCTATTGTTTTAACTTCCTTTATTCCTCGGCAACGTTTATTGTTTTAAAAAGCGATCATTAAAATTGTAATAAAACCTAAACTTATGAAAGTGAATCTATACCTTTTCTTTGTTCTTGAGAATTGACAACAAAAATAATAAACTCTGTTTATTAGATTGTTTATTTACACTATATATTTATGATATTATTCATTGCAATGTTTGGCAAAACATCGTCTAATTGCTAATTGATTCGAACTTTATAAAAGGGTAAATCATAAGGATTTTAGTTGGTTGACATATTTTAATAATTTAGTAAATGTTTATATATTTATAAATAAAACATTTTTCACATATTTTTGTTTATAAATTGGTAAATGATAAATATTACATTGCGTTTTTGTTATAATTGTATTAGTTTTTGGAAGGTTAAAAATATAAAATTATTCTTACAAATAAAAAATCTAATAAATAAATAGTGAATAATATTTTTGTTATAAATTGTTACGAACAAAAAAAATATAAATTCACTTTAGTCATATGTTTAAGTTTTATTACAGTTCTAATACACGCTTTTTAAAAACAATAAAAATTGCCGAGGAGTGATGTTCATTAAAACAAAAATTGTGTCAATGGAAAAACCGTAGCGTTTTTTTTGTTTTTTTGTTTTTTTTTTTTTTTTGTGAAGTGTCAAGTTTACGGATATTTATTCTTTAGAATTTTATATCTTTCATTAAAACACTTGAATTTAAAAATGTTTTTTTTCTTTTAGCTTAATTTTTACTTTTTTCATTTAATCTTTCTTTCGCGTGCTATACGCGAAAACAAACCCACCTAAAAAAAAAAAAAAAAAAAAAAACGGTAGATTTTAGATTTTCAAAAATATTAAGAAAAAAAAAAAAAAAAAAAAGCAACAGATTATTCAGCTTCAATGACTTCTCAACGCCTTTGACTGTTTATCATGTGGTAGAAGTATCTTGCGTGTGATTTGATCTCTGTCTCTGGTGCAATTGATTGTAATAGGAATTTCCTAACATTGGATTAATCTGGCATAAGTACACAAATGCAGAGCATCCAGTAAGTATCGAATAGGTATTTCCACTGATTCGCAAAAAAATAAGCATAACAAAGTTTTATCGTCAAAATCTTTATTAAGAGGAAAGACCAAAGGGTTTTTTGATTATTAAATTATAGTTTCGGATCCTTCTTACAATGTTATAGATTTTGATTACAAAATCTTTTTTCTGCCTTCTGTAGCAGGGTGGGGGTCAAAGATTAGTATAGGAAATTCTTTCTTTGTGGTGAAAAACATTGATTTGGAAATTCCTGGAAAAATCAAATAATTGTCGAATTTTAATGAAACTTTCAAGACTTCATTTAATTAATTAAACTATTTTAAAAAAGTTTTAAGGAAATCTTGATAAAAGCATATTTTTTTTACATTTGCTACCCCTAAGTGATTTAACTTTTTGAAACCTATCCTCTTTCCTGTATCTTTTGTAATGGATTCTATGTACAAGTTCCAATTGAGGTCTGCGTTGAATTTGAGACCCAATAGTCGCTGAAGGCATGAGAATGTTATTTTGATTTGTGAATCGGGCTAGTTTTACCGTTAATGCCTAAATCTGACCGTCCTGGGTAAGACGTTAAACTACATCCGCGTCCTGGGTAAGACGATGAACTACGTCCAGCAGCAAAGTCTCTGATCAGAAGGTTTTGAGAAGCGTGGAACCACCTCTTAATTACTGGTGTTCCAGGTCCACCCTGACACGGGTTGGTAGCACCGGTTAGGGTCCCAGCTATAGGCAAATAGTTAATACTTTTTTGAAAACAATTATTACCAGTAATACAATTTTGAAGCAAAAATATTACCAGAAACAGATTTTTGAGAAAATAAAATATTACCAGCAATAAAAAATCTTGAGGTTGACATGCCGTAAAACAAAATAAACCAAAACAAACCTAAATTTGAAAAAAAAAAAAAAAAAAAAAAAAAAAAAAAGATTGTGTGATTCCATCACAATCACACTTCTAGGTACTATGGAAAATCACGAAAAATTGTAATGTTCTACAAAGCTTTGGTATGTCGATTAAATACCAATACATAACTTCTTGTTTACTTCCGTCTTTTACCACTAAGGGAATATAAACATTACTACATGACATAGCAAGCTTCTGAGCTACGGGAGGCGAGTATAAACATCTGGAACTGTTTTTGTACTGAATTGCCGCAATTTAAACTGAAGAACAAATATTGGGATAAAAAGCAACAGAAGAAGGTAATAAAATAGATGTATGAAATAAGAAAAAAATAATTAATTCAAATTATTTTCACTCTATGAGCAAGAATGCGAGTCCATTTCTTGTTATAAACATATCGTGTACAAGCAGGAGATTGCAAAATAAAAATGGCGGAAATATCGACTATTAAGGTTTTGGAGTTTCTTGATATCCACACATAAAATGAACATTTTTAAAAGATATAATATTATTATTTTAATCATTTCACGCCATACAAGGTAATAAAGCCGCTAAAACGCAAGTGGTGTACAGAGTATGAAAGAATAAGAGAAGAAAAAGCATTATTAAAGCGAAAGAACAAGAAATGAACAGTAATTAAGAAGACAAATGATAACGATTGATATTGAATTTAAATTGTTGAAGATCAAAGTCGACAGGAAAGCAAGTAGCCGAAAGAGTGTTCCACAAGCGAGAAGTGCAAGAGAAACTGTTAGCATAGCATTTATGGTTACATCTAGCAATTTCAATTGTAAAATGATGAGACCTAGCTGCCAATCCAGTCAAGCGGTACCAGAGAGGAAAGCGAATCAGAATAATTACCATGAAAATGTTTTTAGAAAAAGGTACAGGAAAGTTACTTTACGGCAGTAGCAAAGTGACTGAAGCCTAGATGCCAGGTCAGGACCAATAACATTGCAGATGACATATACATATATATATATATATATATATAAAATAAAGGTTTAAATAAGTGAACTATGTTATTACTACTAATTACATATACTTATATATTATTTCTATATTTTTTCTTGTGTGTATAGGAGTCCTCTATTTATAATAACATTTTTTTATTTTGATTTTAAATCTACAACTTTCCCCTTTCCGCTTGTACTTATTTTCTGGCTGAGACCTATAGACGCTTTCCGCATATAAAAATAATTTAAAAGGTTGAGAAGATAATGTTTCAAGAGAGAAAAACGGGAAAATTAATAGCAGTAATTGTTTTAGACAAATAATTCAGCTTGGCTCAGTTGTCATAGATTGATGCCAGGAAAACAAATTTCGTTTTCTGTTTAGATCCCAGTTCCTGGAAAAAAAAGTAGGAGCTGAAACTCTCCCAGCACCCTATAAGGTCGTGGATGGAGTAAGTTTTTTTTCTCTGTGTATATCTATCTCTCTCTCTCTCTCTCTCTCTCTCTCTCTCTCTATATATATATATATATATATATATATATATATATATATAATGTATGTATGTTAAGTTACGAAAAACTTGGTAATCCATATGGGTAGTCGCAAGGAGGATAAAATCCTGATAGCTAAATGTAAATCCAGAGCTAATAATTTAAAGGAAAAACAGGCCACTTTAAGGTTCTATTGTAATAATTTATTTCACCAGAGCCCTTTTAAAGGACGCTGGATCATCGTCCTTTAAAAGGGCCCTGGTGAAATAAATTATTACAATGGAACCTTAAAGTGGTCTGTTTTTCCTTTACAATATATATATATATAGTTAAGTTACGAAAAATTTGGTAATCTGTATGGGTAGTCCCAAGGAGGATGAAATTCTGAGAGCTCAATGTAAATCCAGAGCTAATAATTTAAAGTAGTCTGTTTTTTCTTATATATATATATATATATATATAAAGATTCGTCATCGTATATCAGTGGTCTACGATAGGTGCGGAGCGTGTTTGTGTAGGTGTGTGCACTTATTACAATTCTGAAACTTATACTGGAAGTCGCCCTCTATTCAGAAGAAATTGTAAACACATCATATGGCCTACTGAGTTGGAGACCAGTGTGGGAATGTTTTCCGTCAATTTTTGCACCTGGATGCCTTTGTCAGCAACTAATAATATGAGGAAAGTAAGTAAATACTGTCTAATTCAAGCTGGCAGCATTTGTACAGGGTTTCATAAATTTTACAAATTTAAAATCCATTTTCTCACCGATGTATTGAGGACATATAAAGTTAAAAGATTATTTTAGTATAACAGGAAAGGTAATATTAAACGATGCAAACAAAAAATTATAAAAATGAGATGAAATAAGATAATGAAAGCTATAAAGCCAGCATTTTATTCTCTTAAGTTATTTTCGGATCAATATGCTTTTTCTTTTCTGCAGTATATTACAAGAAAAAAGAAAAGATATTCAACAATGATGGAAAACTTTTTTGATGAATTAAACTTTCAATTTTATGTCGACGCATCTGACTCTATCTATCTATCTATCTATCTATCTATCTATCTATCTGTATGTATCTGTATCTATCTATCTATCTATCTGTATGTATCTGTATCTGTCTAACTATCTGTATGTATATCTGTCTGTATCTGTCTAACTATCTGTATGTATATCTGTCTGTATCTGTCTAACTATCTGTCGACCTATCTATCTATCTATCTACGTCTATTCCTATCTATCTATCTACTCTCAAATTGCAATTTGTAGAAAATAAATCCTTTGATCATTATTTATCTGTCAAAACTTTACAAAAGCTGCAGTTCATGGGAAGAAGCTTTAAAAATGGAACTTTCTTCTTTACTAGTGGAACACCCAAGGTAATCAGGATGATACATCCCTATGTACATGGCATGGCCGGTCTTAACTGTGAAGCTCTGAACTTCATATTTCATTAGTAAGTAAGTTACATTAGGAAAACTATTTCTAAAAGACTACTACTACACCCGGGAGGACGATTCCCCCAACACTGAAATCCTAACCCCCTTAAGTCTAGGGTCAACTTTTACCTATCCTACATATCCTCATAATCTGCTTTTACTTCTTCCTCTTACGTCCATTCAAAAAACTCATTCTGTAACACTCTGCCTTGAGTGGCTGTTGGGCCTTTTATTGAGTGAATATTTAGTTAAAATACGAACAAAACTAGGCTATGTAGCTCTTCAGAACATTTTTCATGGAAACAGCGGCAGACATTTGTTTAATCAATTCACCCCTAGCAAAGCGGCAATGCCTCTAAGATGCAATCGGCTACTGGGTGAAAAAAGATGAAAAGGCTTTAGAAGGAACCGAAAACCCAATACTAAACCAGGAACAAGGGATAAACCTCTACTCCTGTTCAAAAGATCGGGGAGGAATGTGAACCGGACGATAGACGAACCTATTTACAACATTAGACGTACAGAGTTGAAGCAGGCTTTTAGAAGGAACCGAAAACCCAATACTAAACCAGGAACAAGGGATAAACCTCTACTCCTGTTCAAAAGATCGGGGAGGAATGTGAACCGGACGATAGACGAACCTATTTATAACATTAGACGTACAGAGTTGAAGTAGGCTTTTAGAAGGAACTGGAAACCCAACCTTAAACTTGGAAACAAGGAATAAACCTCTACTGTTCAAAACCTGCAATGGCTTTTCGTCTGTGGTGAAAGGTGTTGTAAAATAGAAAATAATTAAGTACCCACATGGCGGCTTAAATGTTTTTTTGAATTCTATCAAGACTGAAACAAAGAGGATTGGGCATCTCTAACCCAGATACGACAGTAATACTTTGTTTTCGGTCTGATCGGACCTAGAATATTTCAGCATCTCTACGTATTATTTGCTTTCTGCAAGTATTCTAAAAAAAAAAAAAAAAAAAAAAGTAACACATTTCGTTTTTCTTTTATTTCTGGCAACGTAAAGGAAGTTCATTTGTGGAATTACATGGCCCATCTAGATATCTCTGTCGGAAATGGATTCATAGTCAAGGCCAAATTCGTTTGCATTGCACAAAATAAACAAAGACGCACACAAGCACGCGTGTGGCGATCCATTTTTCTCTGCATCTGCGTCCAAAACAAACCTCCTAAAATGTCCACGTTTATTTGCAATACCCACTGCAGACAGAACCGAAACAAAAGGATACCATTTCCCGCTTTGACCGGATCGATAGCCAGGCTCAGCGAAAGGCGATGCAGTGAGGTTGGAGTAGGGGAAAAGTGTTTCCGGCACTTCGGAAACAAAAGCGTTCCAAATAGCAGTAACAGCTGCCATCAAAATTTAAAAGGAGAAACAAATACTCAGTCACTTCTTCCGCGTGTCTTTCGCATAGAAGATATTAATTACATCAGTGTTTTCGATATTTATAGTCAATAGATTTAGAGTAATACCAAAGGATTATCTATCTATCTATCTATCTATCTATCTATCTATCTATCTATCTATGTCTTCTCATACCTATCTATCTATGTCTTCTCATATCTATCTATCTAGCTAGCTATGTCTTCTCATATCTGTCGCTGTCTTCTCATATTTGTCGCTGTCTTCTCATATTTACCTATCTGTCTGTCTTCTCATATGTGCCTGTTCTCTCATATCTGTCTGTCGCTGTCTTATGTTTGTCGCCGTCTTCTCATATCTATCTATCGCTGTCTTTCTTTCTATCTATCTATCGCTGTCTTTTTTATCTTCTCTCATATCTGTCTGTCGTTTTATATCATCGTGTCTTTCTTTCTATCTATCTTCTCTTTTTATATCACACACACACACACACACACACACACACACACACACACACACACTTCTATTGATAAGAATAAAAACAAAAACTGAATGATATCGGCTGGGTTATGTATCTGCATGCATCGGACGCCGAAGACTTAAAAAAATCCATGTATTTTCAGGTTTTTTTGATAGAATATTGTAACTGTCGTTTGTTGCAGTTACTTCGTATCTTAGTTGGTTAAGAAAAAAAATCTAAATGAAATTGTCTATATTATATACCCAAAACACATTTAAAAAAATATTTTTTTAAATTTAAAATTCCCAGCGTCTCTCGTTTGTGCGCATGTGTAGTCGCATCAACGTAAACAAACCTAGTCCGATAAAGTTCTAAGGGATGTCACACGAAAACTTTTTCTACTTTGTCTTTCTTCTCAAGCTGTTCTTGATATATCAAAATTATCGTTATCCACCCCCATATATAATATATATATATAATATATATATATATATATATATATATATATATATATAAAATGATCGAAATATTAACAAGAAAAATAAAACAACCAACTTGATTTTCACGAATATATATATATATATATATATATATATATATATATATATATATTTTTTTGGTAAAAAAATGGATGTACTTTTGGTAAAAGATAAAGAATAAAGACAGCTATTTCTTCGTTTTCGTTTTCCCATCCAATTTCTTCGATGCTTCCTCCTCCTCCTCTATCAAACAAATCACTCAGTTCCGGCCAAGCAAACAATACAACTAGCGGCTGATGCTCATCACACTGTCTTCATTTCTTCCTTCCTTTAGTTGACCTGCAGTTTTCGCGTGAAGAGAATTTCTTTTCCGACGTGCCTCCGGTGTCAACCACCATTTCCGGTCCGACGTGTGGCGCGTCCCGTCGCCATTTTGTTTTTATTCTTGTTCGTGTCTCCGGCGTTTGACCTAGATGTCGAGATTTGCCGCCACTACACGCAAGTCGTTGAAGACTGCTTTCCATGACTGGCAACTTTTATTTATTATCTAATTCGTTTCCCTGCCTTGTTCGTGCATGCCTGCCAGCAATCATCCAAAATAAATAAATCAGGGATTTCCCTATTTCCTATTTAAGGTGGACAGTATCTTTATCTTCTTTCTTTTGCCAGATGGCATCAACCACTGCAGCTAATATTAACATCACGGGGAGATCTCCATGGTAAGGGAGATATCTGAAATATCGGGAGTTCCGAGGTTCCAGCTGAACGAATCTCGTTGGTAATGGCAATGGTGAAATTAGCCATTTCTAAGCAAGAAACATTCGGTATTCATTGATCGAATAGTTAGTATTACTCTCAATTGAGATGTATAAAACATTTTATTAAAACAATTTTTCACGAAATTTGACTCCCACTAAACGTTATAAATCGTTTTGCTATTGTGACTTTCTTTACAATCATTTGTTTTGTGGAAAGTTTATTCTGTTATTTTTTTCACGTCTTTATTCTCATTTTTGTTATTGCTGCTTTTGGAAGTGTTGAAGTGATGTAGCTTGTTTTATCTGATAAAGCTCTTCGTTATTGATTGCATAGCGCCAAGTAATAGGGTGTAATGAAGTATCGTTGTCTTTTGAGATAAAAAAAATCATTTCCCTAAAAACGTTTCGGGTAATAAAGCCACTAAGACGCAAGTGGGGGGGTGGTTACAGAGTGTTAGAGAAAGTGAGAAAAACACTATTAAGGATAGGGAACAAGAAAAGAACAATATCTGTCTATATTTCTGAGATGAGGTATTATGTATATGTATTAGGTCAATTGTAAGAAAAGAACAATTAAGACAGTAGATAACGATTGAGATTGCATTTAAATTTTTAAAGATCAAACTTGACTGGGAAGCAAGAAGCCGGAAGATAGTACCACAAATGAGAAGTCCGAAAGAAAAAATTGTTAATATAGAACTTACTGTTACATCTAGCTATTTCTACTATTAAATGATTAGACCTTTTTGTCTAGGTCTGCGCTTAAATTCATAAAGTCTAGGTACCTAAGCGGAGTGTCCATTAAAAAAAAAAAAAAACTATCCTGGAAGTATTTATAGAAAAGCTACGTGGAAGCTACATAACTTGTTTTTTTCCCCTTCTAGACATAATCATGGTTCTCCACAGCATCCGCTCTTTTATTATTTGTGAATTGCCATGGCTTTTTAGGGGAAAATGCGTTCTAAATATTTAGATTTCGGCATTAAATAACCCATAAAGGTGTTGATATATCGCTAAACAAAATCAACCAAACTGTCACTTTAAGTCTCTTTTTCGTCTGTGAAGGGATTATCCAGCATTTACTGCCATATAGGAGATTTAGATATTTTATTGCACTTTAGCACTCTCGACTTTGTTTCCAACGAATTTTTTTTTTTATCTCTAAACACTGCTTAATTTCTGGAAGACATCTTTTTTTCTATTTATATTCGCTTCATCTTCCCTTTCGCATTTCCGTCTCGCACTATTTTTCGTTGTCTGTTACGACACTAACCATATTTGTTTTTTCTTCAAGAGATTGACCATTCTAACAAATGTTTTCCGAAATAAGGGATGTAGTCAGCATGAACTGAACCCGTATTCTCAAATTAAAAGCTGAATGCCTTTATCTGACGAACATTACCCGACCCCTTTGAATATGTGTACTTGTGTCGTCTTTGTCACGAAGCCCCCAACAGTCTTTTATGTGCGTGAGATCTTTCACGTGCGCAGTCAACATCAACACTTCAGGTGCCCGCTTTAACCCTAAACTAAGAACAACCCTTCTTTTTTTTCTTAAGGGGTCACTCAGTACAAAAATTTAGCTAGCCAATATCGCTTTGTCATTTGACTAGTTATGACCTTGTGCGAAGGCCACCTGCCCCCTCCTCCGGTAGATAAGCCGAATCACCTGTGACCCCACCCCCCCATTCCTTACTCTATCCGATCGGAGACTCTGAAATCTATCTTTTGTTCTCCTCTTTCTCTATGTCGCTTTTTTCTGTCTTGGCCAGGTAAATAAAAATAATTAAAGAAGTTAAAAAAAAAAAGAAGGAAAAATAAAAAAATGGAAAAAGACACAACAGTGAGTCTGTGCAGTCGTTTCTTGGGCTTCATGCCCGCCTCACCCAGCAAGTGACACAAGAACTTCAGGAATTCTATTGTTTTAGATCAGAGTCAAGGGTCGCGTTGGGCGTGTTGCACAGTGAGTTTACAATTCGTGCGATGTTTTTTGCCGTGTCTCAAGTGACCCTTACGAAAAAGGGGCACGCATTCCTTGAACTTTGCTCTTTTTTTCCAGATGCCAGTGTCTACATTGTTTTGCGCCCTAATAATTCACGATTCGCATTCACAAGCACAAAATCACGCAACATATACACCACTTGAAAGTAGAGATCAGTGGCAGAACATTAGAATACTGGTTTTATTTTCAGTGCCGGGTTGTAGCTCTCATTATTACGTGATCGATTTTTAGAGAGAAACGCAATTTCAGTCTTACTTGTACTCTTTTGATTGATTCGTTTTTTTTACGGTTTATCACACCTTTGAATATTATTTAACCCCAGAAAATATTTTTATAGTGTAAGAATTTTTTTTGAGATAATGATTTAGTAATACAAGTCTATTTTTGAAGGTGGGGGATGTTCGCCCAATCCAAGGCACAAGGGCCACTCAAGGTAGAGAATTACTGTATGGAGTTGTATGAGTGCAAGAAAGAGAAGTTCTTTGGGCTATGCAGGTAAGATATCATGTAATTCTAGAAGTCAGGATTTAATTAGTGAATTAATTTAGTGAATGGAAGTATAATCAGAAGTATAGAGTAGAACCAGACACCAATCCTAAACAGGAAATAACACAGTTTCTTGTAATAAAGGTTTCTCACCTTGCTCCTGCTGCTATCGGTGGATTCTATTATGCACTTTTAATGGTATAACCCAGTTTTCGCGCCAAATAGGATTTGGCGCGTATTTACGAACGCCAAGTCAGTGCAGCTTAAGAAATGGAAAGAGACAGTCGTCTTTAGCTGAACTCCAAAGAACAGCGTCCAAACCAGTTCGAACGAGAAAGTCCACCTTTCAAGAGAAAGTTAGCTTCAGAGACATACAACCTTTGCTTAAAAGACAGATAAGTGTAACCAACTGTTTTTGATGAAAAGTATGGGTACTGATCCAATTGTTGACCTATACCCTATACCCGAAAAACACATTTTTTAGCGACTCTTTCAATTCATGACTTCATGTATATATTCTTGTTTTATATAAAATATCTTTAAACTATTCAATTGTCTCTTCCTTGTCATCTGCTCGACTTGATATAGAAGTCGTTAAAAATCCCATAATACTCCTACCCATAGCTGGATGGAAAAGAGATGGATTCTTACCTTTCTCAAGGGTACCTGCTCGTAAATGAATATAACGAACCCAACTGGAATTGGAACTTGGCTCTCCGGTTAACAATTATTCATTACATCATCTGCACATACAAGCTTACAGCACCTGGTATTCCCAAGTGCTCACCCATCTAGGTAATGACCAGCCTCGACGTTGCTTAACTTTAGTAACCGTACGGAAACCGGTGTTTCAACGTGATATTTGCTGTAAGCCCACATAAGCTTGTATGTGCACCACGCGCACATACAAGCTTACAGTATTTGATATTCCCAAATGGTAACCCATCTAGATACTAACCAGACTCGACGTTGCTTAACTTCAGTGATCATAAGTGAACCATTGTTTCAACGTGTTGTGGTCGTAAGCTCTTTACGCTACCTGCACATCCAAGTTTACAGCACCTGGTGTGCCGAAGCGGTCACCCATCTAGTTACTGACCAATCTCGACGTAGCTTAACATTGGTCGTCGTACGGGAACCAGTGTTTCAATTTGAAATAACCGGAAGTCTGCCCGTTTGAGAATATAAACATTTTTTTTAAAGTTGGATATTAACAATCATTTACATTATTGATATTCGGACTAATGTCCTCAGATTTGTTCTGTCCGGCCTTGTTCGGGATTGTCGATCCAGATATATCGTTTCTATTTAGTACTGCTCAATTGTTCTTAGCCCTCTTTCCACTGTTTTATTTTGTTCTTGCCAACCCAGGGATTGAACTCACAGTTACGGGTCGATAGTTGGGTAGATTAAAGCGTTGGTTTGTGAGATTGGTGACATTGTAATTGTGAGTCCAATCCATGGAAATACAGACGCAGACTCTGTAAAAAAAGGGGAGGGGGAATAATAACGGAACAGTAGCAAAAAGAACAAGATGAGTACCCCGAGACATGACCAGCGGAACGACAACAATCTACTTTCGTAGATTAAGGGTTCAATTCGAAACTTCCGATTATTATCCTGATCGACATGGACCTGAAAATGCAGGAGAGCATATCGACCGAAACGTTTTAATAAGAACAGCAAAGATGAGAAGATTAGTCCGAATGTAAATAATAACTCCACATACTAGAAATGAAGGCTAAGATTTGAAACCTGCTTGGAACAGATTGTGGCAAGTCTAAGAATATTTCCGCTGATCAAATAAGGGATTTATTTTGACAAATGAAAGATTGCCGAATATTTAAAATATTCTAGAAAGATCAGAGGGATTAACGTCCGAAACGTTGTGATAAAGACAAAAAAAAAAAGAAGCTGATCCGAAAGAATTAAGAGGCACTTCGGCCTGGGTTACTGGTTAGATAGACTAGTCTGTTTGATCATTACTACTGAATAGTGGGTTCAATCCTGGCTGGGTGCCCCATTTAGTATTAAACATTAAATAACACAAGTGTTGACATGTGACATCAACCAACTAACTTAAGAAAGTATAATTAGAGAGGATGCCGAAAAGTTTTCGGCCAGATCCACTTTCCAAAATCTGATTGGTGGGGGGTTGGGGCTTCTTACTCGAATCGAAAACTTCTCAGCACCCCTTCCTAGTAAGCATGCATTAAATTTGATTATACAATTTAATGTTTTCACAATAAACTTGATGTCAATCAATCAATGTTAGTAAACATTTCTGCATCTTATTATATCTATAATTCTCAAAGTGTGTGTGTCTGTGTGAGAAGGAGAGAGATCGGATGTTGTTTATTCGTTTTCACAGTTTTCATCCGATTTCGATGAATTTTTTTGTTTGATAGATAATTCTTCAGTGCCAGTTTTGAGTTTGTTGGCGACAATGGCTCTCCACTACTTCCTGTCCATTATAACTCTCAGCAACGTTTTGTTATTTACTATATGTTCTTGGATATATATCTTTCATAAAAACTTTAATAAAATAAATACTTTAAATTATTACAATAACATTATCTATATCTATAATTCTCAAAATGTGTGTGTGTGTGTGTGTGTGTGATCGGATGTTGTTTATGCGTTTCCACAGTTTTCATCCGATTTCGATGAAATTTTTTTTTTTTTTTTGCTTGATAGATAATTCTTCAGGGCCGGTTTTGAGTCCAAATTACACATTCTCCTTCTCTTGGCTAAGCAATCTCTCTCTCTCTCTCTCTCTCTCTCTCAGGTGAGGTTACCTTTTCCGTTGCATAAAGCCTACTATTACACTTTTAAGGCGTTGATTTCATAGTTGTTTATAGCCGTTCCCAATTTAATTTTTTTTATTGTCCTGCCAGTCTTTGCATTGCATTCACCATAGTAATAAGTAAGCTTGATTTTTTTTTTTTTTTTTTTTTTATTTTTTTTATTTTTTATTTTTTTATTACTCAACATTCATTTTTCCAACCTTTCCTAAAGTTATTCGAGCTTAATAATCCCTGTAACATTACAGCGTTCTCTTCTGGTATTTACCCACGTATTCCATTTGACAATTCATACTTGGCTAAGACATGCCACCAAAGAAAAGAACTTACCTAGGTCGCAGAACCGCTGCCGTCAGGTCTGCCATGCGAATAAGAGATAACGAATCGTCTTTAGAACGTTTAGTTTGCCGGTCTCAAAATGCCTCTTGGAATGTTTCAATCAGAGCCACTGAGTCCGAAGATCAACGTAACCATCGGCTTTCCAGAAGAGCATACCTAAACGCTTCTGTACGCGAGGCCTAAAATGATGATCAAAGAACTCAACGGTTGAAGAAAAAGACCTCTTCAACTGCCGCTGCGCGTGAGGCTGAAATTGCTGATCAAGGGACTCAACGGCTGAGGAGAAACGCCTCTTCAAATGCCGCTGTGCGTGAGGCTGAAACAAGAGTGAGAACGCAAAACCGGCCCTCTTCAGAGCCACTCCTCATTCAAATTGTTAACCCACTATTTGGGGATGGGCTTCAGTTGCACCCAAATGTTAATAATATTGATTTTTCTGACTTTAAAACTTAAACTGCTCCAATTGAACGGTAAAAATTCCCAGTAATTAAAGATCCGGTCGAAAATGGGTTATACTGTTGGTAAGCTTATATTATCAATATATCGGGTATGTATATATTTCATCATTATCAGTTCTATGACAGAGTGTAGCGTCTTTTAGATCTGGCGGAGCCCATTCATCTTCAGGTCAAACCGCAGCCAATGTCCGTTAACTTGGAGACTCGCTTTGGTCACAGATATGTGACCGTTGATTCTGTTGTGGAAACCCTCCACTCTGACCGTTGACTTCAGTCTAAGGAGCCCTTCACCTTGCGATGTTGTGCAATCACCGCACTGCCTATATGCATAACTATGAAGGCGAGTCTGCCTCGTTGTGCTAGATGGCCACTGACCCCACAAGAAGATTCATACACCCTTTGACAGGTCTTGCCTTTTAATTGATTTGTTTGTTTAGCAACATAGCAACTCCTTATGGATCATTTAATGCTGAAATTTAATTTTCGTAGGAGATTTGAATTAATAAAAATATGATAGGTTATTTTGCTTTCACAACTGAATACATGGTAAATGATTGTTATATAGGAATAAAGTGCTGTTGCCGACGCTGGAGTTTGAACACAGATCACCAGGCAAACACAGGCGATCCTATTTTGAATAAGTAAATCACGTGATGGTAAAGAAAATGTATATATGGAAATTAGCGTGGTGTCTAAGTGATCACTCTTTCTACACTATCCTCTGTCTCTATACTATTCAGTATGCTTATCACTATACGGATTACTATTCGGATCACTATACGGTGGTTACTTTTAGAGCGAGTATTATCGAGCAAGTACTATTAGTGCGAATGTTATTCGAAAGCCTCTGACACCAGTATTGTTCAATGGCGTTACTATTGTTGTATCTGCGATTACAAAGTCTCTACTACAACGAGCATTACGAAAGTGACAACGAGTATTCGTTGACATCACAAAAATGATACTCAGCTTTGGTGCATATACATATTTGTGCGGGCATAATTACTACTGCCCAAGACACACCGCTTTTGCTACGGCTGCACTACATTTGGTACCCCCACAACTCTAATGAGTCACAGGACTCATGATCGTGATATATCAGAATAATAGTAGGTAACTGAAATGACAGACAATAATTAGCGTCCCTCTTTAGGCGACACAACCGTGAAGACACACTTTTAGGAGACATCACCAATAAGACACACTGCTTTGTGTGAAAGCATGTCGGAAAACTTTTCACTGTCAAGCACTGTCAAGCAATTTACTTTCAATGAAAATGCATGTTTGTGTGGACATAATTTATAGCGGCCATGATATGTGTGTTTTATGTTCAAGTTTCCTTGAAGTTATATTTTAGAATAAAGTTTGATTTCTAAGAAATTGTAGGATATTATATGGACTAATGTCATGAAAGAGTTCTTTCATGTTGCTGTTTTTTGGCTGGTTTTGTTTAGCGGCATATTAACACCTCTATGGGTTATTTAATGCCGAAATCTAAATAATTTGAACAACTTTATGGTTTCAACTGAATATATTTTGAACGCAATTGTATGCTCTCAACTGCAAATAAAATGTATTGTTGGTCATTTTTCTTTCAAATTGTATTGCGTGCTTGTGTGTATTTTAGGTGAAGGTGTGTGTTCAATATGTAAATAATACAGAAGAAGCATACAAAAAACAGATATCCGCCCCCTCTCTCTTGTCCTCTATCTGCCTCGTGATTTTCCAAGCCTTTCTTCTTCATTATTTGCCTCAGAAACCGCTATAGTCTCTTTCTGATGTTAAGTATTAGTTTCCTTTTTGTTTTCATTTTCTCCAAAATTTAATCGTTGCTCACATGTTCGGTCATGCTATCCTCAGCAGCCTTCTGTTGCTTAAAGTCTCCTCTTCAACTTTGAGGAGATCGTCCAGTACTCGCTGCCATACAGGAGGATAACTATCATGTAGCAGTTTAGTCCTCTTTTCATTTGTTTCTAGTGAACATTTTCTATTTCTTATTAATCTGCTTAGCTTTTGGGATATTTCTTTGATTATCACAATACGCCCTCGGATTTCAGTGACGCTCATTCCGTCCTCTGTTAAAACACTTCCCAGATATTTAAATTTCCGCACTTGTTTGATTTTTGGTATCTCCGATTTGCAATTCTCTCTTTGGGCTCACCTCTTTTGCTAACAACCATGTCTTCTGTTTTCTTGCAGTTGAGGCTTATTTCATTCTTCGCGTTTTCCTTCACTAACATCTGTCGGAGTTTTTGTAGCTCTTTTTTCTGTGCCTGTTATGAACACTGTATCATATGCACACCTTATGCTGTTAAGATTGTGACCGCCAATAAGTAATCATGTTAGGACTTCTAGTTCTTTTAGAATCACCTCACTGTGTAATACAAGCTTCAAACATTCCCTTTCCGTAGTCTTATAACTCGTATTAATATACGATTTTCATGAAAGACTCTATTTCCAGCTTAGTCATCTGGTCCATCCAATGTAGCTCTACATTAATCACAAAAGATTAATGCTAAGAAATCGGTTTTCATATAGTTATTGGGGCAACTTATACGTTTCTTTTTATGTTGACTTACGGTTGGTAGTTTGCTTTTGTATCTTTAGCGAGTGTACTGTATCGTTTCTTTCTGTTTGCACCAGCAACACTCGCTTCTTCAAATATTTTCCTGTTGGTTAATTCAGTTTTATTACTTGTTACCATTTTAATTTTTCTTCAATTTCTTTTTGTTACTGTTGTAGTATACCTACTGAAGATATGTCCCCATTCACATAAATACAGTAGTAAATACTGTATGTTGGTCTGCAGTCGAGGATTCGTCTCCAGCAGTGCTGGTCGAACTCCCTGTCTCCGGGCAGAGAGGATCCCCAGACGAGGCTATGTCGAAGGGCAGTTTCTTGTCTCGGAAAACAGCTACCCGACCCCGTTTTATACGGGGTCTACGGGGGAATTTTGTCTGAGCCTACGGGCTCGGTTACCCCACATTAAATTCGACCTTATGCCACATCTAACCGCGTGGGGCAGTTGGTAGATATTCTGCAGTTGGAGATTCATTGTGGAATTCATTTGACTCACTTCTAGCAGTTAACGACTTCTATGCGCCGATGGCGAATCCTTTATGTGTTGTTCTTGTCTTAAGTGTTATCGTTCATTACCAACCTTCGTTTAATTATTCTATTCAGTAATCTTCTCTTGGTTACAACAGTTACGTAAATAAAATCCGGTTTTTTCTTGTTCTTATTTAGCGATGTTTTCAATTTCTTTTTTTGTTGTTCCGTAGTCTCCGTTCACCTTTTTCGTAATTTCCACAAACTGTGTTCATATCATTAAATAACCTCACAATTATCTTGTTTCTCTTATGAGATTCTTTTTTTTTTTTTTGCAACTCGTGCCAATCTTTATATATATATATATATATATATATATATATATCTGAGATCAAAATATAATTATAAATAACTATATATCTATTTATTTACCATAAGATGAACGATACCCGAATTACATAAAATCTTACACCACCAAATAAGTCATTGTAAATAAAACAGAAAAAGTGAACTGCTATATTTCTTATTCTAAGTACAAGTTTAGCTTATTTTTCGCACAAGGCCAACCATTCGAGCATTCAGTGAACATCGAACTCACTATCCATTAGTCAACCAGACTAGCTCGCTAACAATTACCACACGATGAAACGCCTGTAAATACCAGGATGTTGTTTACTCGTTGTTATCTAAACCACATTTAATAGTCAGGTATGAATACCGCCACCTTGTGGAAATACGTAGAACTAGATATTGTTACAAGGCGGGAAAATGTAAATGCACTCTTTTCAGTACAGTACAAGTAAGTTAATGTGTGATATTATATCAGCAAAATGTCTTGTTAGCCATTCCAAAACAGAGAAATTGGTTAAGTCCCAACGACAATGTATCGATAATTTATTTTCCTCATCTCGTTTGTTAAATATCGAATAAATAAAATGATTAATGAATTGACTGATGCATCACGCTTAAACCCCTGTCAATCTATGGCAGTCTATTTTAACACGTAGCCCAATGTGAATGATTACGAAAGATGTTTGATTGTATACCGTAGTGCGGTGGCCACTAAAATCGTCTCAGTAACCTATTTGATAGTATGCTGTTGGTAATATTAGCCGTTTCCTTATAAGTAAACATTCGGCGTTCAGTGAACGAGCAGCTATTGCTACTATCGATGGAAATTTCTAAAATCTTTTTCTGCAGATTTTCAGGAAAATAGGTTTCTCACGTCTACTAACTGTTGTAGATCTTTCCAATGTTGATGACGGCTTCATTCCTAAGCGTTTCTTCGAAGGAACATGGAACACCAACATCTTGATTATATCATTATTTTCTATTTGGCTCGGAATTGAAAATCGGAGAGTCGAGTTCCAATTCCAGTCGGGGTCGTCACTTACGCTCAAATACACTTGGGAAATGTAGGAATCCACCTCTTCCTTCTTCATTTATAGGTTAATTAGTAGAACTTGTGTCAGTAAATCCTTATTATCTCTCAAAAATATCTTAAAATATTTTATGGCTTTAAATAACCCGCAAAAGGTTGATAAATAGTAAAAAAAAAACAAAAAAAAAACAATCCATCAATTTCTTCGAGTTACATGTGCTATCTATTTTAACTGTTGCCACTGTTGAAACTCTACAAGTGATGAGGTTTCTGTTATTTGTTAGCGATTCTGTAACGCCAATCTACGAGGTTCGAAGACAGTCCTCTCCTTTCTATTATGAGCTCGATCCTCACTGAATACCTCACCATTGTCGTCTGTGGAACTAGTTAAAGGTTTATTGAAACTATTTAAATACAGGTTGAGTATCCTTTATCTGAAATTCCCAAATTCGAAAACCTCCAAAATTCGAAAGTGTTTCAGGTGCTGATATGACTTGTCACAAATGGAAAATTTCAGAAAGCAACATGGCTACCCGTAGCATGATCATTACCTAGCAGCGTTACAAATAAGATACTGACTTTTTTTTTTAGTTTTCATTACATTTAACTTTAATCAGAATCTGTTTTGTTTTTACACAAATAATGTACTTTTGTGTATTGTAACATTTTTAATCAAAACACTACATCGTTGGTAGAGACTGATAGCTTACCGAATTTTCATTTTCACGCTTACAGTGATGTCATTGATGAGGTAGCCTGTCCCTCCGGTAGCTTGTCCCTCCAATTTCTCACATCCTGATGTAGTAGTGTTTTGTGTTGCATTTATATATTTTCATGTGAAATCTTAATTTCACCACTTAAAAATACATGTGAGCATTACATGACAAGCTTCATTTCATGTATCTATAAATATATATACAAAATTTATTAAATCTCTATAAATAGATGCAAGTGTCACACATTTTCAACTTTACTCCTAGAAGCCGTAGCCCAACATAACATACCATTTTGGATTAAACCGACTCCGTAAGTAAATTTAAAACATTCCAGATCGGATCCAAACCCGCAATCCTGAAATTTTGGATTCCCCTGTTTTCATTACTGCGATTGTTTCGGGGGTATTTTTTTATGTAATCTTTTGCGACAAAGTTTTTTTGTACGTTAACAATTTTTATAACTTGGAAATTAAATTTGGGAATAATTGAAATTAATTGCGAAATCTAGCGAAAGCCAGCAATGAAATAAAAATAATTGTTTGTACGAAAAGTAACGACCTACGTACATCAACATTGTCTTTAAGTGTCGGCAGAAAAATTATCGTTGAACTTTTAAAAGGTAAGCTTAAACATGAATGTAATACTTAAATGCGGCGATTAATTTTGAGTTCTTCTGTAGTTTATTGTTGCCTATCGCATACGGCAGCAGTATGCCTCACAAAAAGAAATCTCCATCAACAGAGAACTAAATTGCAATCAAAAGAGCCAAAGTTGCAGCGAGGAAAAAATCCCGTGCAAATGAAAAACTAGATCAAACGGCAGCCAGGAGAGGTTCCAATGCTGAGAATATGCAAAGACAGGGATTCTTGAACAAGCCGAAGGCCCAATCAAGAACCCCCCTCATTGGGTACCCTATAATTTTGGCCTTGTACCACAACTAAGCTACACTTAGTAAATCACTATCCGCGCCTCCTGTTAGTGTTAGAGCCTACATAAAAACCAAAATTACGAATGCTGATTTTTCTATGCAGGTAGATCTTACCGATTTAGAAAACTGGCGTAGCACAATCTTGCACTGATTTCTCCTCCCATCTGATCTTGTGCCGTGCTAAGATTAGCTAATATCGATACCTTAACCTCTGGCAAGAGACGATCGGGATCACGACTCTCCGCTTGAGAGGGTATCAGTTAGCGTCTCATGATTTAAATCACTCGTCGTCCGCGTTGGCCAGTTTTAGCCAGAAAGTGTACCGAATTAACACCAGGTTTAGTTTACCATCTTTTGCACTCGGTGACCCATACGTGCCGGCAGATTTACAGCTACATTTATTTGCCTCTTTTTTTTCTTTTCTTTTTTTCTTTTTTTCTTTTCTTTTCAGAGGGCATCATTGTCGTTTCAGTAGCCATTTTACGATTTCTATTTCTCCCCGCCCCCTTTTTCTCTCTCTCTCTCTCTCTCTCAATTTCTGTTTTTCTTTTCTGGATATTTTATCCGCTTCTGTTTTCTTTCCTAAACACATTTCTGTGCATTCCGTTGCTATTTTTTTCAACCCGTGTATGTGTATATATATATATATATATATATATATATATCTCATAAGAAATTTTTTTTAATCCAATATTGTTTCTTACTACTGTAGATGGTATATTCAGTTGGTATCCGTACATCCCTGTTCTGTTTCTTTTTTACACGGTGAAATTAATGTCTACTGGTCTAGAGGATTTCGATTTTATGATGATTCTCGCGCGTTTGTGAGCCCGATGAAGTCCTAACGGATGAAACGCATCACAAAGACCTTTTACAATTTGTCATACTAATTTCTAAATAATTAATGGATTTAGTTTTTAATCCGACATTTTTATTTATTTTGTAAATAGTGCCCCATTTTTTTTTTTTTTTTTTTTTTTTTTTTTTTTTAACTTTAAACGGTATATAATAAAATGGAAAGGAGGACTTTGTTGCACCGTGGCGCGCTTCGCAGCCGAGTTGTAAGGCACAGCGGATCAAATAGTGGTTTCTCCTAAAAAGGGGGGGGGCGCATTCGATTCCTGCCAGAGAACATTTTCTTTATTAAGATTTGTCGAATACGCAGGCCGTTAGTTGTAATACACACTGTTTAAAGCATTAATAAAAAACGTGTCTATTTCACATATTATATCCACTATAATAACCTTTAAAGTTTATATAATATATATATATATATATATAAAAGAGTGTGTTTTGTACCCACCACCCAAAATTGTCGACCAGTAAGGCAAACAACATTTGTGGTTATGGAGATAGTGGATAAATAAATGTCAAATCTTCCTGACGAGTGGATGTAATCTCTACGAAATTCTAAGTAGGGACACGATAAATTAGCATTTAATTTTATTTATTACTATATACTTCCGAAAAAGTAAAATTCAGTTGAGCACTTTAGAGGGAAAAGTGCGAATTTGTAAACAAAAGCTCTTCTATGAATTGAGCACTCTGAGTCCCTGGCGTGTTTATTCTAAAATACGTAAAAATTCACCTTCCTCTCTGCTGGGAGCTGAAAGCTCAGGAAAAAAAAAATCTCCGACTGATGCCAAATCGGTTGGGTTTCGATTCTGGTTGAGGTAATCGAATGTCAAGCCACACTGATGAGCTGTGATACAGCGAAGCAATCTGTCTATGGGTGACACATCTAGATAGATAAATAGATCCTCAGGTAGATCAATAAATTTGCAACGCGACGACGAAACAAAGAAGCATTTTTTTTTTTTTTTAAATTTCACGTTATATTTATATTTTTAATATAATCTCCTTCCTTGTCGGTTTACTTAACCCAATGTTTCTTCATTAATATTTCTTATGTATTTTTTGTTTTTCTTTTCATTTTTATTCTTTTCTTTTTCTTTTCATTTTTATTCTTTTCTTTTTCTTTTTTTTTTTCTTTTCTTTTTCTTTTTTTTATTCTTTTCTTTTTTTTTTTTTATTCTTTTCATTTTTTTATTCTTTTCATTTTTTTATTCTTTTCATTTTTTTATTCTTTTCATTTTTTTATTCTTTTCATTTTTTTATTCTTTTCATTTTTTTATTCTTTTCATTTTTTTTTTTTTTTTTTTATTTTCTTTTTTTTTTTTTTTTCTTTTTCATTTTTTTTTATTTTTTTTCTTTTTTTATTCTTTTCATTTTTTTTATTCTTTTCTTTTTCTTTTTTTATTCTTTTCTTTTTTTTATTCTTTTCTTATTATTTTTTTCATTTTTTATTTTTTCTTGTTTCTTATCTTTTTTCTTTTTTTTTCATTCTTTTTTTTTCTTATTTTTCATTCTTTCTATCTTTCTTTGGCTCCTCCGTTCTCCCTTTGTTTCCCCTCTACTCGCTTTTTTCTTCATTTTTTCTTCCTCCAAATCCCTCGTCCCACTCTTCGCTTTTTTTTCTTTTCATTATTTAATCAACGCATCCATATTTCCGTGGTTGTCTTTTCTTTCCTACTTTCTTCTATCCCATGATTCTTGATCAATATATTTTTTGTTTTTTTTCCTTTCCTATTCTTCCTTCCTTTCCGCCATTTTCTTCTCTTGTTCCTAATACGTCTTTCCCTACAATTAACACACACACACACACAAATTATATATATATATATATATATATATATATATATGAGATAACAATATCTGTAACTTGTTGACCAGGTGTACAAAACCTAGTCACTTCTTGTATATCTCGAATAAAATAATAGTCAGGCTGAACAGAGAACTTCTCAGAATTGCTTTTCAGCGTTGCCATTAACATAGAACATCATATTTACTCATCCTTCACATAACGCCTATATTATTTACAAAAGAATCTATTATACTGAAAAAGAAACAGGCGCCAAGTGTTGCGTGCCGAAACGCGGATGGCCAACCCGCTTCTTAGTTAGACATATTTGAGTATTTCTGCACTGAATGACTTCGTAAATTCGACGTCCTAGGGACTCACTCCTTTTCTAAGTATGGAGATAAATACTGATGAATGTTCTTAATCCTTACGCATATATTCTTACATTTGCGCTTCTTATTTGACGGGACTAAACCCTAATTCCTTTTCGACGAGAGATCAACTCAACGCCCCGCCATCTACCGTGTTTGATTCTTAAAAGCCAATATATAAACCTTTGATAAATCTCTTTTATCCCGTTGATAAGAAAACTGCCGCCCGTCGTTTTGGTCACGTTTGGTAGATATATTTGCCGTCGTAGAAGATAACTTCATTTATATATATATATATACATATATATATAATCTTTCGTTAAATATGACGGACAAGAAAATTTTTATTAATTTTTGATTTAGTTTTTCTAGCGTTCTTACATTTTTCCGTTTAGTGGGAGTGAGCGAGTACAAAAACTCGTCGATATATATCGTCGATTATTCCAAGCGCTTTCGGCCAATTCTTTAGCCACTTTCAAATTGGGTTGATATTGATGTACTTAATTTATTTTCATGTTTTGAGTGTGTGAATATATTGTTCGTGAATTATCGTAGCAGCGATTCCGAGCCGTCGGGTGTTGGGCATGGCTGGAATTCGAGTGGACGACTTTCTATTTTTAAATACATTCAATATATATATATATATATATATATATATATATATATATATATATATATATATATATATTTTTCTTTTTTTTCCTACGTTCCATTTTTTGAATAACTTCTTTTTGCTTGGTTTAATTTAGAATTTGTAATTTTACCGTGAAATTAAAATTTAATTATTTCATATTGATTTTTAGTTTAATCTAAAATTAAATTTGATTAACAGTTTGTATTTAGGATACACTGTCATGTTTTTTTGAATTGTCATATACTAGTATTCTGATTGGTCGTCATAGGTTACGTCACAATGTTTCCCCTATTGAGGGAGTTTGATTTGGTTTTGAATTTTCAAAAAAAAAAAAACCTCTTTATTTCGCATTCAACACCATCAATTGATAAGACCCCAGATGTGTTGAAACAAAATGGCTATTTTTGGAGCGATGTTATAATTTTTGAATCAATACATAAAATCTCCGACTGTTGCCGAATCAGTCGGGTTTCGATCTCGGCTTGAAGCAATCGGTTGTCTAGCCACAATGATGAGCTGTGATACAGTGAAACAGTCTTGGGCACCTCGAGGCGGTTTAATGGTTAGCAAGCTTGTCTTGCTAGAAGGATTACGACTGAGTAGTGAGTTCGATCCTCACTGGGTGCCCCATCCATTCGGCCTTGTGACACATCTAAGCTAAACTTGGTAAATCTCTACAGCGAAACAGTCTGTCTGTGGATCACACACACATACACACACATATACATATATAATTACTTTACTATCATTTTTAGTGGATGTCCGTATTTGAGGTGTCACTCCGTTTATTTTAAACAGTATTTTGTCTACCAGTGTGCACACTTGAAGAAATTTATTAAAGTAAATGTACCATCCAGAAGGATTCGAACCTGCATCCATTTGTGCAGAAGAAACTAGCGTCTGATCCGATGTGCTTTGACCGCTCGGCTACGAAGAGCTTCGCAATCAAACAAGGTTCTATTCGCCTTTAAAGCACGTTTAGTCGTTAGAGGTGAAAGCCCACTCGGTCATAAATAAACGGAGTGGCTATGCGGGTATCTACTAAAAATAACGTTTGAGGTAATAAAAATCCATTAACTCTTTAGAAATTGCTTTGTGTCTACATTTCAGTCACGAAACGGAGTAGACAGTCGCCTTTGGAGAAAATGTGAATCAGTGAGTGTGATTTAAAGGTAAATAAAAACTTGTTTGATTGTGAAAGTAGTTAAAACCTGCTGGATCAGATGGCAATTTCTCCTTTAAAATGAGAGGGCGCAGGTTCGAATCCTGCTTGAGGGCCCGTGTTATTTAATACATTGCTAATAAAATTTTTCTGCGGATCCATTCTACAGTCTTCAAGTAAGTTTTAACAAACAAGGCCAGAACATGAATTCGACTCGCTAAGTCCTCAAAACCCATTGCACCACCTGTACGTCGATTATTGTCATTAGCACCATTTAATAGCTGCACATACTGACGATAAAATAAATCCGGCAGCAAGGTCACTGATCGGGAGGTGTTGAGGAGCATGGGACCACCTCTTAATTGCTGTTGTTTTCAGGTCCACTCTGACCCAGGGTGGTAGCACCTATTAGGGTCCCGTCTATGGGCAAATACTGAAACCCCAAGCTTGGGTAAAAAACAATATGAAAGTATAATACATAATAAAAAAATACCAGCAAAACTTTTTTGGAAAGAAAAAATTATCATCAATAGATACTTTGTAAGAAAAAAAAAAATTCCTAGTTATAAATTTAAAAAAACTAGTACCCGTAATATATTTTTTGTAAAATAAAAATTGCCAGCAATACATTTTTGGGAAAAAAATTACTAATATTTTCAAGAAAATTAAATTTCGGTATTAAATAACCCATAAGAAGTTGATATGCCGTTAAATAAACAATAGTAATGGTTTCAGAATGACAATCTGGAGGTTGCGATAAAAGGCAACTGAAATTAAGAGGTAACAAACTTTAATAAAAATTAATAGCAATATATAGCATAATAATAATAATAATAATAAAGGAGATCTTGCACCAGAGTATGCCAATCTTAGTAAACATTCCTTATAGGATGATTGATGTTTTTAGCCTTGTACAAAGATTGCTTTTATCCTACAAATATTTTCTTTCGACTCGTTTCATCAGTACGGACATTCTCTCGGCGCATGCGCCCTCAATTTGACATTTTGTTTCTGGTTGATGTAAGTTGAAAAAACGGCGCGAAGGCAAAATAAAGCAACCGTTCGATGTGACCTCAAGAATTTCACTTTCGAATGTTTTCCCTTGTCCTCGGAGGTGGAGGTACCGGTTAAGAAAATATTTTCTCAGTGCCTCTCCTTTACCCTAGCTTGTAGATGTCCTGCTCAGGGTCATTCATGAAAGTCCAGAACTTGAATACTCTTTTTTTTTCTTCTTTGTTATTATTATTATTATGATTATTATTATCTTTTTTTTTTTTTTTTTTTTTTTACTTTCTGATCAGTACAATCCCTGACTGGACCCCTTACCTGAGTCCTGGGGTAAATTAGTAAAATATGCATTCTGTTTGCACCATTTCTTATCATAGAGAGTGTGTCTATTTTCTTAACCTAGACAGTGTTCTCATTAGTGATGGGCTTACAGCCGCATCATGTTAAAACGCCGATACAATCACCGAAGTTAAGTAACGTCGAGCTTGGTTAGTGCCTAGATGGCTGACCGCTTGGAAACTTGGATGTGCGGGTGGTGTAATGGACAGTGGCTCGGAATTGTTAATCGGAAAGCCGAGTTCTAATCCCAGTTGTGTTCATTATATTCACTTACGCGCAAATACTCTTGGGAAAGGTATGAACCCACGTCTCTTCTCTCCAGCTATGGGTTAATTAGTAAGACTTGTATCACTAAAACCATTACTATCTCAACAACAACAAAAAAATTGCCTAAAAATATATTTAATATATATATATATATATTATATAGATTAGATTTGGCATTAAATAACCCATAGAGGTTGATATGACGCGAAACAAAATCAACCAACCAAATTTAGTTGATGAATTGTTCTATAGTGTGCAACTTTAAAAATCTATTTTCAGAGGCTGCCAGAGATCTGGTTAATTTGTTTATCTCCACCTTTTTTGATCTGACCCAGTGCTCCAGTTATTATAGGTATAACAGTAATTTTACGGTCCCAAGTTTTTAACTTTAAATTAAAAACTTGTATTTATTCATTTTTTTTCGTATTCTTTAACAGACATATTTTTATCTGATGGCACTGAGAGATAAACGATTACAGGGTTGGTATAAATGGAATAAAATCCAATAACCAAAACCACTATTTAAAAAAATGTGCTCAACAGAAATTAGAGCGAATAATATCTATTTAAAAATTATAACATAAGCATGTTATAACATCTCTACAAAAATAGCCATTTTGTTTCAACACTATGGATGTCTTGTCAAGTGATGGTGTTGATTGCAAAAGTAAAAGTTCTAAAGGGTTCAAAAACCAACCCCCGTACTGTAGTTGGGGGGAACTTTATTACGTAAGTTATGATGGCCAATCAAAATACATGTATATGATAATTCAAATAACTTGATAACAGACCTTAGATACAACTCATTAATGCTTTAATGCCAGTATTAGATTAAATTGGGTATCGGTATAACTAATTAATTATTAATTTACTATGCATTTAAATATTTAATATTACCATACATTAAAATTAAAAAATTACAACATTATTCAAAGAAGAAACTGGGAAATATATACTAATATTTTCGTGTGTTGTTCATAGTTATATGTTAAGTCAGTGGTTTTTAACCTTTTTGCTGGAGCGGAACTACAAGGAAACATTCCAGTGGCTTGAGGAAACCCTGCAATAAATTAATTGTTTTATGCAAAAAAAAGCTTTCAATTATTAAAATAAAATAAAAATACTCATCTTCAGATTTATTTACAAAAAAATACAAAGATAAACTGTAAAAATATTGTAGACGTCCATATGCAATTTTAATCTTGCTTCTACGGTTATTAACACATGTATTAAAAAACTTCAGTTTAAATGGATTACATTTATTTTCATAAAAAATTCAATGAGAAACTTGAGCCTGATGTTTCTTGCACAAATCTTTAATATTGGGTCGTGTTTTTGACAGACACACACGAAGTTCATCTTCCACAGACAGCAATTGTGCTCGCTTCTTGCGCTTGATGATTGTCAGAGCTGAAAATCCAAATTCACACAAGTCGGATGTTGAAAACTGCATAAGAAGGCGGAGTGCTTTCTGGGTAATTGCAGAATATTCCTTTTTTAACCAGCAATCAGAATGCATCCAGGCTAAGCTCAGAATGCTTCAATTTTAATGTTCTGTCATTTGAAACACTGGCAAGTTCTTCTTCTGTTAATGTAAACTGTTCTTCAGATGGCTCAAATTCCACAAATGGGCTTCTAACCCAGTCATATGTAATTTCTTGCGGAACCCCTGGGCTTTAATGGCGGAACTCTAGGGTTCCGCGGAATCCTGGTTGAAAACCACTGTGTTAAGTTACCCATTCGAAACGGCGCTGATCTAAGACGTACACTTTATTGCTACAAATTAGCTACAAGTGAGAGGGTTTTTTTTTTTTTTTTGGCTGAAAAGTGCACAATGGAATAAGGTTTATAAATGACAACACAGACAAAATCACATCTTAATACACAAACACGTAAATGTGATAGAATATATATGCACGCAAATATACAAATGATACAAGAAATAGGGGAGGGAAAAGAAAAAAAAGAATAAAATGAAGATGGAAAGGAAGAAGAATAGTTATATATGAGAAGGTATTTTTTGTTTATAGTGAATATACTGTACAATCTTAAGTTGATTTTTGTATTCCTTTAGTTTTTAGACGCTAAATAATGAATAATTTCAACATGTAGTTCCCATAATATCCAAATTGGGTGTATGCAATATTTATTATGTTTGTCTGGTGATTCCTGGTAAAGCGGCAGCCGTTATAAATGCCTCCATCTCTGCTTTTAGCCCTACGTTCTTCAGTCACTATGGGTTTTGTGTTGATCTACATCCGTATCGTTACTTCTGAGCACATATTAATAGTGTAAGAAGTTTTGTTCCTAGGTGTCTTTAAAATGATTAACACTTGTATCGTAGCATTTTTTTTTTTTTTGAATAAATTTAACTGCATTTGTTGGTAGCGTATTTTATTTATTCCCTTGACAGTAAAGTTGATTTTCATTAGAACTTTGTTTTCTTCATAAATGGATGATTTCTTTATAAATTTTTCATGGAAGGCAAAAAGTTGTACCAACCAGTCAGATGTACTCACTAAATAGATTTTTTTTTTTTTTAGACCTAAATGTAGTTGCTTTATAGGTTAGCTCAAGTTGATACCATTACTTCTGGTAATATAAAGACGATTGGCATCCGTCTTTTGCATGTTATGGGAAGTAGGTATTTTTGTTTTATTTCTGTTGCATACTAATTTCCTCCTGGGTTCCAATCAGAGATCTAAGGTTGAAAATGGCACCGTGACATATTCCCCTGTAGAAAAAAAAAGAAGCATACAAACGCATAGACATTTTACATTTGTAGAGTGTGAGCTGTGCTTGTAAGAACAATTTTTGGCATTTCCTTAACACATGGTCTACCAGAGATCACTTCCGATCAGAGCGTTTCCTAAACAAACCAACGACTGGAATTATTGATACCTTCATGTGCGACATTCTTGAAATTTCCATTTCAAGATCTTTGTATTTTGATAGATTTTCAAATCTACATGACAGTTTGCAGGGACTATCTCATCTGTAAGAAAGCTCATTCTGCTTTTGCGACCCTTGAGCACTGGGTCTGGTATTATTATTATTATTATTATTATTATTATTTTAGTTCAATTATTTGGATTAATATCTTACTTTTTCGAAATGTTTTGACTGGTCAGGGTTTGAAGTCCATATTAAATTTTCAACGCGTAAAGTCGGGTTCATTATTTAGATTTACTCATGTCTTTCTTCATATCTTGAACTCGAATCGGTGAATTGTCTCAGGTGAACAGAGGGCAAGGTTACACACCATGCATTCGGGCATTACACATACACACACACACACACCACGCATTCGGGCATCCACACAAACAAATGCACTGGGGCGCACACAGACACGCACAATGTATTCACACACACACACACACACACACACACACACGCACACAGTGTCGTTTGAATTTTTATGTGATTTCTCATCGTAACTTTACACTAATAACCTCGGGAAAGGTATAAACACGCTTTTCTCTGCACTCTACATTTTCTTCATTTATATTGATAAATGCCTCATTACCAGTGTATCATGACAGAAGATAGTAAAAAGAATCACTTTGTGTGTACTTGGGCCAACAAACTCTCACGGAATTACTCAAACCTGCCTGCACTGGAGCAACACAAACTTTATATCCACGATTGTCATTAGTGCCAAAGGCCAAGAAAGTCTAATCGAATATAGGATATATATATATATTTTTTTTTTTACTTCTGTTTATAAATACATGTCGCAAAATTTACATAGATAAAACCCATAAGATGCAGAAACGTGTTGGTAAAGAAATGTTTCCTTTCTCTCTCACTCTCATACATATATATATATATATATATATAATTTCAAAAGGACAATATGAATAAAGTCAAACGGAAAACTTAGCCGACGCGTTTTATACTCTGAGGAATTTTATCAACTCAAATGAATTTGTTTGTTTTGTTTTACGGCATATCAACCTCAGTGGGTTATTTAATTCCGACAATATTTTTATTACTGGTAATATTTTAAAAAAAAATGTATTGATGGTAACCATTTTTTTAAAATGTACCGCTGGTAATTGCATTTTTTTTTTTCAGAAATGTATTGCTGGTAATATTTGTTTTTCAAAAATATATTGCTAGTAATAATTTACTCCCACCTAAAAAAAAAAAAAAAAAAAAAAAAATCTATTATTAAAACTTATTTTTACACTTTCATAGTCTTTTAGGGTTAACTATTTTTCAAAAAAGTATTGCTGGTAATAATTAACTATTTGCCCATAGCTGGGACCCTAAATGGGTCAGGGTGGACCTAGGAATCCCAGCAATTAAGAGATGGTTCCACGCTCCTCAAAAGCTCCTGATCAGAGGCCTTGGTGCCGTATGTAGTCATACCCAGGACGCGGAT